TCCAAACCCTTGGCGGGAGGGCCACCGCGCTCCCAAGCGGCGCACTCTCCAGTGCGCCACCGGGCCGGCCCCAAACATTTAACTAAACTTAAATCAGGCCGGCCTGTGGCTCACTCGGGAGAGTGTGGTGCTGAGAACACCAAGGCCCCGGGTTCGGATCCTATATAGGGATGGCCAGTTGGCTCACTGGGTGAGCATGGTGCTGACAACACCAAGTCAAGGGTTAAGATCCCCTTACTGGTCATCTTTAAATAAATAAATTAATTAATTACATTAAATAAAATTAAATTAATTGGGCACCTACCAGACACTGAATTAGTCATTGAGGTCATGGCAGTAAACAAGACAGAATCCCAGCCTTCAGGTAGCTTATAATCTGATGGAGGACACAGACAAGTACAGTACAGTGTGATAAATGCTATGAAAGGTGTAAGTACAGTGTGCACTAAAGACGTGGTATTGTGGAATCAGGGATGCTCCATGGAAGATGTTATATATAAACTGAGACCTATTAGCTTATTGAAATGGGCAACAAGGCAAGGCAGAGGGGATGGGATTTGGAAATAGAGCAAAGTGTAGTTCACTAAGCTGAAGCTGTAAAGGAGATAGTGGCTAAAGTTGAGGCTCAGTAGTTAAACAAGCATTAAGGGTGGACCCTTTCAATTTCCACTGCCTTTAGATATCTTCCCAGACTACCTCAGCCAACTTGTCTCATTCCTCCTGAATTTCTGTAGTGCTGACCTAGAGTAGAGGGTTTGAATTAGGGAGAAATAGTTTAAGGTGGTTTGGGGAAGAAGTAGAGATTAAAGTGGGAGGGGGCAGTTAGAATCTGACATGAATTACATTTAAAAGTTTGATCTTTTTTCTGTGGATGAATAGAAAACCACTGAAGATTATTCAAGATGGGTTATCAGAGAAAAGGAAAATTCTGAAAGAGGGGAATTAACACGAACAAATGAGTTTTCTGGGAACTCTGAGTAATTCGTTAAAGATGGAACTTTGATTATGAAGGGGAAGAGATGAGACTGGAAGAGAAGGCAGAATGCAGATGATAATAGGAGGCTAAGGTATTTTATTTTTTTCTGGTAAGCAGTGGGAAATCATTGAAAGATTTGATATAAAAATAATTGAATTATGTTTGCATATTAGAAGATAATCATAGCAACAATACAGAGAGTAAATTTGAGAGGACCAAGTCTAGACACAAGATAACCAATTAAGGAAGCTGTTGCAGTAGTAGGCCAGGTTAAAGGTGATGAAGCGCAGCAAAAAGCAATAGCAGAGGAGGAGGGGAGGAGATACACTTGAGAAATATTATTGGAGACAAAATTGGCTAGACTTGGAGATTTGTTAAATGGGAATGGGAAGGTAGGGAGGAAGAGGAGTCATTAAGAATTGCTAAAATTCTGACTAAATACAAGAGCAGTAACAGATGGAAGAGGAGTGGAGGAAGATTATTAATAAAATATTGAAATATAAGGTCAAGGTACCTCTGAGACTTAGAAGTGGATGTGTACATTGATTGGTAAAGGGGAATTTAGGCTTGATGTCTGTGGATATGGGAGTCAATGATACTTAGATGGTTGTAGTTAAAGCCATGGAAGTGGGTGATTATGCTGATAGCATTTCATTTTCTGTGTGCCAACTCTCTGTTCTAAATGCTTTACTTGCATTGTTTCATTTAGTTCTTATAAAAACCCTGTGAGCTTGTCATTTTACAAAGAGAGAAAGTGACATATAAAAGAGTTAAGTAATGTATAAGACCTCGAAGCTAATAAGTGACAGAGCCAGAAGTGGAACAGACTATCTGACTTAAACCCTGAAATCTTTTTTTTTTTTTTTCTCTTTTTTGTCTTTTTTCGTGTCCGGCAACGGACTGCAACCAGTAATGTATAAGACCTCGAAGCTAATAAGTGACAGAGCCAGAAGTGGAACAGACTATCTGACTTAAACCCTGAAATCTTTTTTTTTTTTTTTCTCTTTTTTGTCTTTTTTCGTGTCCGGCAACGGACTGCAACCAGTAATGTATAAGACCTCGAAGCTAATAAGTGACAGAGCCAGAAGTGGAACAGACTATCTGACTTAAACCCTGAAATCTTTTTTTTTTTTTTTCTCTTTTTTGTCTTTTTTCGTGTCCGGCAACGGACTGCAACCCTCAGTGTTGCGCCCGTACCGGACCAGGACCGGCAATGGGATCGCAACCCTTCGGCGCTGCGCCCACCCCTCGCTCAGCCAGTGAGCGGGAACCGGTCTGTATGTGGGATCTGAACCCTCGGCAGGAGCGCCACCGTGCTCCCAAGCGGCGCACTGTAGCAGTGCGCCACCAGGCCGGCCCTAAACCCTGAAATCTTAAAACACTATGCTATGTGTAAACAGAAAAGGTATGCAGAAGAGAACCCCGGGGAGCTTCAGTATTTGAAGGAGGATGATAACAGGAGGATTGCCTACCTATACAAGATCCTGGAGTAGGAGCCAGAGAGGTAGGAGCAAAACTAGGAGAGTGCTTATAACAGAATCCAGAGGAGAAAGTACTGTAAAAATTATTATGTTTGCCAAAAGCCACAAAGAAATAACATTTTAAAAAATCTCCATTGGGTTTAATAAATTGGAATTTATTGCTGTTTGAGTACAGTCTTGACAACATAAATGAGATCATTTATGTAAAGCTCTTAGCATAGTAGATTGCATATTTTAAGTGGAAAAAAAATGGTAACTCCTATAATTATGGAGTTAATGGGACTTAAAGTGGAGACAGTGAGTATATCAAACTCTTTCAGATCCCTGAATCCGTAAGATCTCAAATAAAAGAAGGCAAGAAAGGAAAGGTAGAAGATGAGGGGGAAACCTAAGATATCTCAGGAATGCTTGTTTAAGATGGGAGAGGAGGCGGGGCGGGGGGGGAAGCTGGGAGAGACATGCATATAAATGTGTTGAGAGCCAAAAGGAATATGATATAAATATACAAATATGAATATAAATAAGGTATAAGTTAAAATAGAAGAAGCAAGTGTAGTTAATGGAGTGTAAGGTTTCCAAGGAGTGACTAGATACTAGGAAACACCACATGTGGAGGGATTACTCTTTAATAAGAATGCCACTTTCACTAGGTAAGTTGATCTGGATGCATTTAAGTATGGATACATTTTTTGAGAGAAGGTAATTCCTACTTAATGATTTCTGCTTTCTCTGTGAAATAGCATATGAGCTTATCTCCTGAGAGTGAAAAGGGATGTGGTTAGATAGGGGGCTTGACAAAGTGGTAAAAATTTGAAATACCTCCTACAGTAAATGAGAGAGAATGCTTATTAAGGATATGTGAATGGATTGTAGCATTGAGGGTCCAGCTGAAGAAGATTTTGAATTTGTATGGTTTTAGTCTTCTTTCTGGTATGCTTCATCTTCAGCAGAACGAAGTAGCAGAAATAAAAGTGCAATAAGGCATTTGGTTAGATTAAACAAAATTTAGAATTTTGTTGACTGCATTTAGAAGGCTAAATAAGGAGGAAGAAGGAAAAGAGAATGAGAGTTTTGGTAAAAGAGTGGTTTGAAAAATGGACCAAAGACTCTGGAATTGATAGAGAAAGAATTGTGTACTGGAACAGACTGTGGAGTTAAAGAAAATAAAGAACTGAAATCTTAATGAAATTGAAAAACAGTTATAATGGGAGTGGGAGGTTGTGGTTAGAGAAGGGGATTTAAAAGTATACAAGGGAGCGGTTCTTGGAGGTCACTGAGATCAAGGATCTGAGAGACTAGAAAATGTGATGGATCATTCATATGGACACTGAAATTGCCAAGCATAATAATGAAACTTGTGGTGGCTTTGCTCAGGGTTACAGATAGTAAATTGATTAGGTCTCATCATGGGCTTTGAAAAGCTTAACTTAGATGTGTACGTAGGATCAAGTTATTTATTTCCCAGGACACTTACCTAGGGATGAAAGTAGTAGCAGAGACTCCCTTCCAGTAGATTGCAAGGACTTAGGTATATCTGAGTAGTGTCTAGATTGGTTGATGAGAGGGGTCTATCTACAATAATAGTGTTAAGCAGTTTGCCTAAAGTCACATTCTCATTGGATTCCAAAGCCCATGCTTTTTCCACTAACCCTGGTGTTTCTCTCTTTTTTTTTTTGTCCTTTTTGAGACCGG